CTATCCGACCGAGCAGCAGGACATTGAGACAGGTACGAATGCATTAGGAGCCTTCGCAGCTGCCATTTCGGCTATTGCCGTTGTTGTTGACGGCGCTGCTGCCGCCTCTACCATCGTTGATGTCTTGTAGCTGTCTTGTCCTTCGGCATCAGAAGTAGGACTTAAATCGTAAGCACTGGAGCTACGCAAACAAAGGCCATGAAACACATTAAAGGCGGAAAAGTACAGTGAAGTCTAGATACATCGTGGATGATCGAATTTGCCGCTTGTGTTGGCAGGCAAACCATCACGACGTAATCTGTGTAACTCCATTAGATTTTTTAATATAGACTATGATAATGGCAGTGATTGGAGTGACTGTGCAAAAGAGGGAAAGGATTATATAATAAGATAAGCTACAAGCTTTCAGACCACGAGCTTTACCTAGAATTATTCTTTCAGTGATCAGTTTTATAACGGTAGTGGCTTTTAAAAATCAGGGTTAGACTTTTGTACGAAAATCGTCGGAGGTGCATAGATTAAAAACATGTATGTGAGAACTGTGTATCTTAGGTGTATTAAACATGTGGAAATGAATTACCGCAAAATTTATACTCATATAATCTTCACTGATTAGGTAAAAAAAAAACGCTTATTCTTCCCTATTCAGATTTTCATATATGAAGCAAGATTTGTGTGCGGCGGAAACAGTCTGTAGCGCTATGACATACAACGGTTTTTCCCTGTACTCCACTCACCTGAGTCGCGAATACGGTAGTTACATTGTTTTTGAAATTTGCATTTCAATAACCAAGCTTGAATACAAAGCATACAGCAGTGGTAGCGTACATAACAACTCCGGGATACAATTATAGTACCATTCATAAGTTACATCATTTTAAGATTAGGTTTGCAGCAGACGAAGTAAGGCACTGCGATTCCTAGGACAAACCATTAGCTTTGAGCAATGATTCCTGCGTACTATTTGCGCGATCTTCGTTCTCTAAAATTACCCAAGCAAAGCTTTTATCGTCGTAAATGTGCGTACAGCGAAGTTATAGTGCACATACAGGCGTATAACAGGTATTTCAATCTGTTATCAATAGATGCAATGATCGATTATCCATTTGCCGAATCCAGCTCATGCCAAAAACCCGACGGTATCGAACGCAGGATGTCTACGCGTTCAGATCAGAACGCACAGAATCAACGAAACGAGCGAAGGCGCATTATGTCATGCGACGCACCCAAAAACGTTCTCGATTTGATATGTGCAATGCGATGATACTTATCATCCGAACTTCGATCTATTTTGTCACGCTTTCGCCGTCGTGCGTACCAACTAGCTCGAGTGTCCTACCCTCGTATGTGCATAGAAATAAAAAAACGTTTCCGTACACAAAATCCTTGTTCTTACTGTATCTCTTGCAAATAACTGACTATTATTCTATAATCATAATAAATGTTTTATTATTATTTATTGCTACAGCCAGTACTACTGCTAAGTGTTTCTTCAGACTGCCTTTAGCCTGAACAAATTGTACGTATGTGTCTGTAAGGTTTCTGACACGAAAGTGGTTAGCATCTTTTCTTTATCTAATAAATCATATGACGGTTATAGGTGCCAATGCGAAAAAATATAAAAACTTATAAACTCCAGTTTACGTTATTGGAAAAATTGTGTAGAAACTTCGCTGATGAACTCTCTAGTTTACTCGATGTGGAAACTCTTTTTCTGGAGAACTTTTACTACCCTTGTATGTTCTCTGCACTGTTAGGTAGATGCCTGTTCTTAACCTATACTCATTAAGTGTTTAACAGGCGAATAAATCATTATTAAAATGTTATTAGCTAATTGTATTGGATGCAAGTAGCGCTTGGTCTATTACTCATTGACATGTTTACGAAATTTTTCGGATCTATTCTCATTTATCTCGACGCTAAAAATACTCCTTATGGCTTCAGCGTTCACCTTCAGGCACTAACCAAATAGTCATTTTAGCTCCAAGTGGCTTTCCCCTGGTGTCCTGAAGCTCAAGAGTTCATTTGCTGTACTATCTGGGTCAGCTAGGCGATTGTCCTTACGTTATCATTGGACCGCCGTCGATATTTAGAAGAAGAACTTCTGCATTCAGAATAATCAAAGTCCTACTGATTGTTTGTTACACACACAAATGCATATGGCATCAATTCTGCGAGATTTAAAGTATCCTCATATATTTACGGTACTGGGTTTGGTGGACAGTAGATTGCCACACTTTAGAGTAGATTGTCCATCACAACCGAATTTGCCTGTCTGTATATTTGGCTCGAGTATTTTTCATTGGTTTTTAATGTATGCGCTAAACGATGATCACATTCTCTATAGCAACACCCCACACTTTCCAACAGACCACTGGTAAACCCTTTTTCTCTCCTCGCACAGCATCACGCGGCCATCTTTGAACTGCAAAGTCAATGTGTGCTAGCTTTCGTATTTTATCCAGCAATGTGCTTATTCTGTATCAATATCTACAATAATCGTTTTGGTGGATAGGCCGCCATTCGAGGTACTTGCCGGATTTCATTTGATCAACGTTAGCGCGTCCATCGCTGCATCCCGTTACCCTATCTGTGGGAAAAATTTGGCATATATATATCTGCAAATGTGCCGTTGCAACTTCTTTAAATAACTAGAATTTTGGGCAATTAATTTTGCCAGGAATGGAAACCATGTCGAGATAGATCGACTGAACGGAGGATACAGACTTGGTATATACGAAGTGTATACGAAGCAAACCTAGAGGACCGAATTCGATTATTGGCTCAACTGGCAAAGTTGTCTCTTGTTGTACTGAACGTTTTTGTCACTTTGCCTACCTGTTTTATACTGTCTGGTAGCCCATGGATCAATACCCTTTCAGTGCAGAATAATGTCGAAATAGATTTGTTCGATCTTGATTAGACCAATTAACCTTTCGCATCCAGGCCATCTAGTAGTGAACAGGTCAATGTTGTCAGGTAAATAAGTGGGTTTTGCAACAACTATTTGCTGCTCACTGGCACTCTCTTACTTCGAACTTTTCAGCATCTTTTAATCAATAGCCCTGGCCCAAATGGTCGAGCCTGGATATCCTAATAAGCTTGTGCAGAAAAGATGCCTCCTAATGTTCCCGGTACCAGTAAATATTAACGAGCTGAGTTTGCCTAGATAGGGCATGAGGTTTCCAGAATCAGTTTAACCTATGTTAATTATGAGGCGAACGATGCACGAACATTCCACTATAATAAATATTGTGAGTCATGATTGGATACGAACGTATTCTGCAGTGCTCGTAGACTCTGAGTGTATGTAAGTACATTTGGGTCTTGACAAATCGCCAGAAATGTTTGCCAACTATAGACATTCGGAAATGATTCTCGACGAGGCTATTTTAACAGCACGTATTTATGTCAGCTTACATGCTATGAGCATTTTTTTTATGTATGCCAGATACTGCCGTTAGTTATTTAGACAATTAACTGAGAATACTTCTGCACTATGCCTTCATGTTCTACCAGTAATTTTCACTTTACACTTCTCTTATAGTATAAAGTAAACGGGTCCTTTGTGCACTACGGGAAAATTGTCTATCACGGGAATACTGTCTGATTGTTGAGATCTTTCAAAAGAAATATATATTCGAAGTAAAGAAAAAATGATGCATGATGCTGATTATCGGTGGGAAATATTCCGAATTCCACCTATCATTTGAATACCGCAATTGGTATGATCTGCAACGTTTAGGTGCACAAAATTTTGAGCAGAAGAAGATTCTTGACCTGACTGTTGAACCTGTTGCGGTAACAGGTTCGTCTAAGGTGATTTTTCTAAGGAGCCTTATTACTGCTGCCGTTAAATGCTGTTTTTCTTTGGAGATCCATTGTAAAACACTCAAATCAAGCTACATCTCTGTTGACTGAGTTATTTGTTGACTTAGTTGTAGCTGGTACGTGTTGGTTTAGTATTCAAAAATCGAATAGGTTAGATAAATAGGTCTAACCGTGCATTACTTACTCATAACATCTATATGCCCACCTCGTTGGATGAAGCGTTGCGTTTTCCCACATCAGTAAAATGATCTGTAAATAATTGAACTAAGAACTCTACAAAACCAATAATAAAGTGTTTGTCAAACGTCCCCGTTAAATTAGAAACACAACTCGAATTCCAATACCTCGTTCCTAACTACCCAGACATTACACGGATAATCTAGGGAAAGCGATATACATATCTTTCTTGTAATATGTCACACAGACGAGCACACGAGGAACTCCGATCACACTTCATCGCTAAAATATTCGTATCAAGAGACCTTTACCTGGTAAATCCCAATTCGCCGTTCTTAGGCTTTCGTTCGGAACGGATTCTAATATTATTCCAGACGTCGAACGTTATATATAAAAGGTGAATTGTTAACGCCACCCTTGTCCATCTATTGAGATTACTCTAGTCAAAAGAGTATGAAGTACGCACAGACATTTCTTTTGCGTGGCTGCTTAGGCGCTGACTTTCCATGCGGTCTTCCTTCCGAGATTAGCTTACCTTGCACTTCTGACTGACTGGTAGCAGTCTACATAGCATCACCGCAACCCAATCCCTGTCCCCACGCCCCTCTATCCATACAGTGGACATTAAACAAACTTGCATGCAGCGTACGAATAGTTAGAGAGACATAAGAATATACGCGATGGACAAACAGATAAACCGGCCGGTCGAATTGGAAGGCCCACACGCCGTCGCCTAAGCCGAGTATCCGCACCCGCCACGCGAAGAACCGGCATTAGAGACCAATTTGCAAATAGCCCGCCAAACGTTCCATCCGAATCCTTACCCCCTACACCCCCGGAATCCTGTTGGACAGCAGGACGTGCTCCTATTGGTCGCTACTGTTGCGATTGCCCTCTCTCTTTTCAAAGTATAAAACAGACGAGAGCGTTAACGGGTGGCGCAGGTTGGCAGTTCGTGCGTGTCAGCCAGGATGTCATCCAGCGGTCTGTACCTCTCCTTGATGCTCGTGTTGGCAGCGGCCGTTGTCTCGGCGTTTTCGGTCATGACCGTACGCGCAGATGATGGGTCGCCCTATCTGGAAAGTCCCATGGATGGACGCTTTGAAAAGGTAAGTTAGACGCACAACTTGAACAAGGTGCTTTTTCAAATTTTAAAAATGTCATTGGATAAGTTGCTCTTTTGCAAGTCCTTGTTAAACAAGTTTCTGTACTTTTTTGTAACCTTTATGTGGCAGTTGGGCAATTTTGCAAGTGGGTGTTTCTTTTGTGTAATTATAGGTTGTGCTGTGTAAATTAGATTGGGTATGTGCTTACAAAATGTGCCTCTGCGTGTATGTGTGTGTAGATGTCTTAGACACCAACGTAGCTCAGATAGCTGAACTGTTCCTCACCTAGTGATACTGGTATTCATATATGAGCGATTTTAGTTTTACTTTAAAGCCTTAATAAAGTTAGTTCAATGGACGCGAAGAACTTCGAGCCGATCTGAGTTGAGTGCGAGTAAAAAAGAAATTGAACTTAACCGTCCATACTCAACCGAAAGCGTAGACAACTTATAGTAAAATGTTTTTTTTTGCACATGAAAATTCAGCTGCATTCCTTTTATTTGGTATGAATTACTGTTCTATTTGTTTTACCATTTTTATCCTACACTAGAATAGAGTTCTCATTGTAGCAAATTTAGCTGGAGTTGAAACATAACCTGGTAAGGATAATAAAAGGAATAGTTTTAAGACTTATTTTGGACTACGTTATTTTTTATTTTCATCACTTTTCATTTTTTTTATTATGTCTGTAACACTTACTAGGATACAGGTAGCGGTAGACCCTGATATTATATACAGTCAAATGGAATCCAACATAATCATTAACTTCTTTAATGTGTCTAGCTAGCATCTTAATAAGATGCTTCCTAATAATAATAGAAACAGTTCATCGGATGCTAGGCAAAGATGGGGCTAGAATGTCCCGTGGTGGTTCCAACAAAAGGCCTTGCGACGAGCGCATCTTCAGGTTGGTTAAGTACGAAACTACCTCTATAGCACAGACGGTAGTAAGTAACGACTGTAGAATATCTATTTTGTAGCGTATGTAATTTAGCCTGCGTGAAGATATCTTCGTACGAGCACAAGCAAGTTTCACTTCTTCTGCAATGGCGTACTGAGCGCGATCCAACAGAATATTGAATATTCATATTGCCATTTCGCCACGTTTTAAACGAAATTATAAAACTAAATGTTTAGCAAATTGCTCTTTATTAGGACTCCAGCCGATGTCATCGAAGGGCCTTTCATGTGTTCTCAAGTCTATTAAATATGTTCTTCCTATTCGTGAAGTTAAAGTAGTACACGTTGAGGAGACTAACAGGACGGGGCAAGACAAAATTTTGTGCATCGTAGCGAACAAACATTAACATACGCAAATACCAAGATAAAAAAACAGAGACTCGAGCACGAATTAAAAAACCCTTACTCTGTTGTCATTGAAATTTGCTTCGAAAACTCTGTCCTATACACGAGGTACTAAGAATATGAAAGTTCCTCCATTGGAATTTTCACCTTTAGCGTCTTGTAGTTATAAAATTAATCGATTAGCTAATCGTAAAACTGTAAGTCTTACTTAGGGGGCAAAAAGATTGATGAAAAACCGTCAGGCAGTACGCGTTAATTTGAGTACGCCATAAGTAAAAAGTCGAGAAGCTGCTTATTTATGTACTTATTGAACGTTTTATGGAGCTTGAATAAGCGATAGTGTGAAAAAGGCGTCAACGGACGTACTTTACTATTACAGCGTTTCATTACAGAAAAATGTTAAAGAACTTTCTACGGTATTTGAGCAATCGTTGTCCTAATGAGATTCCTAAGTCCCAAATGCTACGTGTTCGTGCGCGTTCGGAATGCTCAAGTTATTCAAGGAGTAGTTTGGCGGGAACTTCCTCGCGGCAGTGGTGCCACGGTTGTCCTGTTCATCAGAATTAGCGCTGCTCTATTTTATTTAGAGTGTTCTTTCAAGAGCAAACTTTAAAGGATTTGGCGTCTTACAATTGCGAAGTTGGCGATTGTGTCCACTGAATATAAAAAAAAGGTTGTCGAAAATGATTGGTGTATATTTAAACTTTTCGAGAAATCATAATGCGATTGCCGGAACAATATAATATGTAAAATATAACCCCAATCATTACTTCTGGAATATTATTTGCTCGAAAAGGTAATATCATTCAACATAGTTCGAAACTGATATATCGGGAATCGATGAATCTGGATTATGGTATATCCATGTGCGACAGTTTTTCTCCTTACTGGTCGAGGAAATTGCAAATGCAGATCAGTGCGAAGATTTATGGTTGGATACAAATTTACGACCGTATTGCAGGTGCCCTTCGGCTAGTCTGCAACAACTAAATGATGTTTTGCATGACCCGCACGCTTGAGCTGTACCACTAGCTGACTCTTACAGATTGAAACATTAAAATCTGCGTGCAAATGTACACATCAGGCAGTACCGTACGTCAAGTTTAGCTATCGCAATTGACGTCGAACGGATGTGTTCTGATTCCCTTACATCTCGTCGGCTATTGTATTAACGACTCTGTACAAACTCTTTGTATGTGCCTAAGGCGAGAGTTGGCAGATACAATGCTGTCGTTTTAAACTTTGGCGCGAACACGTTCTGGAATCGTATAGCAGCACATGATAACGTCCTGAATGTTGGGACTTGGTACAGTTGCTTTTATCGATAGGTCTAATTATCCAATTTCACGATAAGCTGACAATCCCTGTCTAGCCTGTATCCTTGTCTTGGTTACACCCCAAACATTTAATACATCAAGGGGGGGGGGGGGTGCTCGACAAGCTTAGTTTTGTTCTTTTCAGTAAATTATCGCACACAACTAACTCCTTGATTGTTTCCTCTTAAGAAAATAGATCGTTGCTGTCTTTCAAATATTGTGTTAAACACTTAAATTTGAAACGAGGGTAGACGGTAAATTTTGATAAATGGTAATTTACAAGATGTGTTCTCTTTTAAAGCTCGTATTCGCTGACGATGGTTACTTTTTTAGGGTTTTTTTTTTCACTAGACGTGAAAGCATAATTTCTATCGTACTATTATCTTGAAAGATATAGTTAACAGGGTCCTGGTGATAACGCAATCCGCATGTCGAATTATTACGCTTCGGCACGTGCCTAGGCAATCTTGAATTCTCCACAGACACGAGTTTTCTATCCCAGTGTCCACTAATCGTGGCAAGAGTCTGCCACCGGCAAACTTGTCTCAACTGAAGTATTTATCGCAAAATCTACGAACGAAATAACGGTATATAGAAAAACAATTTCACTAGTCGTGTTTGTGTCATCCTTATGTCGATCATGTGACCGCAAAAGCCGAGAGGTACGCAGGTTACACAAACAAAAATCGTTATATATATATATATATGTTATAAAAGATATTCGCTACTTGTTGCAGCCAGTACCTAAGTGGCTATTTGAAAAGAGCTTCTGGACAATTGGCTACAACTATACAGTTTTTTAGGCATTGTTTTCAAATTCTCAGGAAAATTCTAGCCTATCTTTTGTATATCAGTTGCTATATCAATGCTGTAATGTTATTTGACAGTCGAAGCTTCCTCATATTTATCTATAGCAATTCAATTGTTGTGGATGTACGAAAAAGAAGCCGTATTCGATTTAACTAAGAGTTGCCCCTTCGCCCGGCCAGAGAAAATGTGCTGTATTTATATAGAGTCAAAACCTCTGTATCAAGGAGCCTAGAGAGTCTCAGTTCCACTAGAATAATAAAACAACAATTAGGGATAACATATAACTTACACACAAACACCCATTCGCGTTCGTATAAACATTATGCTCTGTCACTGTATACTGTTGAATTTTTGTAATAGCTTTTTCCTTTTTTGCCAACAACTGTTGTCCGCAGAATCCATACTCGACCAATATGACGAAATTATTACTGCAAAAGCCATTAACAGAACAAAACGGGGAAAACAACGGTGAACAAATGTGTTTTCGATGATATCTTATTGAACAGTCGTTTTGAAAACGAATGGCCCGTCAGGCCGCTTCTGGGTTCACCGTACAACCTAACCATCTTAGGGTATCACTGCGTATAGTGAAAGAAAAGCGCAAGTCGCATTTTCTCATTATGTATCTATAACCAATTGCTGGATAGAAACCAGCTCCATAACTGCATGCGTAAATTATATACTGAGATTAACAGCGATGTATGTACAGTTATGTATAAGAAAGAGGAATAACAGTCTGAAGCGCGAGTGGAATAGGAAAAGACACCCATTAAGGATCAAGTCTTCTTCTCAAACTGTAACCGAAAGACATTAAAAATGGGTTAGCTGTCCAGACAAAACGGGCTTAAGTGGGAAGACGTCAATAAGTAATGACTATGGCCGCAAACGGTGTCATAATAAAGGAAGTAATAACGAATACTAAATTGTAAAAATAGCCTAGTGCATTGAAAATACTGCACTTTCATCCTACTAAGTATAATTCAGCTAATTACTGCAAGCGATGATTAGTTGGAACAAAAGTTTGACGAACAGTTTGTCTTCTTTCAAACTTTGTTTTGAAATGGAGCTTAAGTGTGTTATTTCTACTTAATCTTTAATACAGACCATATCGATGTAACGCTTCATAGAGTGTGCCCCCGTTATCAAAGTACTGATATTCGTATTTTTCAGAGGCTTGAATTTAATACGATAACGTTCAATTGAAAAGATCCCGATTTTCATAACTAGTAAATACCGGAACAGATCACTTGTATGATTTTTAGCCGAAGTCTGGATAACTAGGGATAAGTAAGTCAATGACAACACGAAAAGGAAGCGCAAGACCGCGAAATCGTCCAGCATAATGAACCGCTTTATCTTTAGATATAATATTTTCGTCACCTATATACGGGGTGTGCGGGTTTTTTAAATTTAAGCGCTTGATGCATTCAGGAAGTTTTCTAATAATTAATTGAAGGTATAGCTAAGAACTCTGATCACTGCGACCCGTCCACAACACTGGAAGGACACTAGACAGAAACAAGAGTAGAACAACATTTTTTCCTATTATTATTCCAGTATTGTGGCATCTTT